ACTAGTGGTTGTGAAATTGTACTCGTCTGCACTATAATCAGTACGACATATTGACGTGTTTCTGCTGCGAACATTCAAAGGAGCAAAGTCCATTGTTTTTGGGATTTCCGATTTTTTTTTGTTGTGCAGTTCGACTCTTACCTGTCTGGTTCCTCTCAACAGCTGTCTGTGGCGCTGACAATAACGTATTAATCTCTTAGCACAATTCTTTCCTCGTCTTCATTGTCTGTTTCATAACATCGTTGCTGATTCACCGAACATTTGCAGAATATTCGTTGGCTAATCATCTCGTTATCTTTTTTCTCTTCAGGCAGCAAGTCAAGCGGGGGCTTCAAAGGCACGCCGAGTGCTCATTTAATGTTCGGGCGCGTTACTTGGATATGGTAGTCCTGTCCGCGAGCATAGAAAATGTATTACTTTCGCAGCTCAACAATAGAAATGAAGAGGACCCGCCGCCCGCTCGCGACGGAACCATGGCACCGCCCACTGGCCAGGGCGACGCCCACTTCGCATTCCGGGCTGCATTTTAGTGCTTTTTTCACTTTTGTGTTACTTATCATTTTCTTGTTGGTATTTAAGCCCATAAACAACATTCTCAAACACGGGGCATTCATTCCAAGAACTCGCGCACAACTGGGGTGAACGTGAAAACCTTAGTTGTACAAAGAAATTGGTTCACCACCAGAACTTCTTCCCTTCAGAAGCCATCATCTCTACTAGGCAGCGTTCAGACTTCGCGACGGCAGCGCTTCGGTCGCGCGTTCGACGCGATCGATGCAGTTGAAAGCATGCGCATCGATCGCGCGACCGAAGCGCTGCCGTCGCGAAGTCTGAACGCTGCCTTATGGCTTACTAACTTGCGCACTAGGATTCTTTTAATGCCGTCCCCTGCATTTTCGTCCCAGGTTTATGCAAAAATTCTCATCCCCTGGCTCGCCATTATTTCTTCGCACCTTCCAGCACGAAACGCCTTCTAGAACGAATGGAGCCGCGCAAGTAACGTGGGAACCGCCCTCAGCGTTCAGAATAGCTCTCGTACAAAACTGATATTTCGGAACCGGGTACATCAGAAACCTTAGCATATTCGAATCAAGGTACATCATCGAGTGGTGAAGAATTTTCACAAAGTGAGACCACGGGTTTTCCCCTTCAGCCCAACGGCCCCTTTCGCATACTATCTTTTTTCCCCCAACAAGTTTTCGTCCAACTTTTGCTATCAAGGGGGGGGGGGGAGGAGGGAACTATAGCGCGCGTGAAACGAGAGTAGCTGGCAATCGGAAAATTTTCTCTCAGAGAAAAATAACGTCCTCAGTGGCCGAATACGACCCTCATTGTGGCTTGCACAGTATTGATGCGCTCCAACCTGACCAACACTGCGAGAAAATAGTTGGATATGTAGCAAGACAATCGTAATATACCGCGCTAGTGAGCGTCGTTCCCCGTGCCACGCCCGACAGACGAGTTGTCCTACCTGGTCATTTGAAGTTGTATTTGAGGGGAAAAGAAAATTCCCTTCATCGCCACTACGGAACCCTGTCTCCGCTTTTATTCATGTGAGTTTCACTGCTCCAATCGAGAAAGCGATGCACATGAATAATTTTTCGAGCACCGCCGCACGCGATAACGCGACTTTGTCTTGCCCCTCTTCCAAAATACTCAAGTCGCAGAATACTGCGACTTCTCGAAAGCTTTCGTCTCTTCGCCAGAAAAGATGGCACAAGGGTGCATAAGCCGTCTTTTCTGGCTAGCAAGGTATGTGGTGGATGTTGTAATTACACAACGTCGTACTTGTTGCGTTGTCAGTCGATGTTAGAGCCGACATAAATCTTGTTTCTTTCGTATACGGTGAAAAACCGTACGGAAGGCTCACTCTTCAACGTCTAAATTCTGTCCTTCTTTTTGGATGACTCACTGGCATTACATTGGCAACATTTTTGTTTCAATGAATCATGTGGCTGCCTAGTCGCTTCCATGACATCCATTCATTTCAGATTCTGTGCTTTCGATGTTACCAAGGTAGCGAATTCAGATTGCCGACGTTTTTCTCCCGTTTCAGTGGGATATGGAATTTTTGCTTTGTCCAACTTTTCAGAGCCCAATGTATGCGAACATTCCATATTTTGATTTTCATGGGATTTAAGATATTGGTTCCAATTATTTTTAGCAGTGCGGGCAGGGCTCATTATCCGTTCTGTAAAACACAATAGGATGGTATTTGGTTATAAGAGAGGAGCCCCGAAAAAGTTTATTGGTGGTTTTTCTGCTATATGTACTCCCTTGCTGTCGCCCTCCTCCTCAGCTGATGCGCGGGACGAAATTTTGGGAAACTTTAATACAGTGCACATCCGTTGGGGATCCCCAGCGGGGAGAAGGGCTCGCGTTTGGTCCGTGGAGCGTGGAGGGAGAGGCGGTAGTATTTGGCTCCGAGAGGAATATTCTCGTTAGTTGATTTTTGCTGACTTTTCTAGATTTTCGTGTTTCTGGTGTACTTGCCATATATGCACCCCCATCCCCTTCCCCTACCCCGCGCGCTCGACAGCAGCTCTTTCGTGGGACAAACAGGAATTTTCAGAAAAGTATCCGGAGAAGTAGGAGGATAGTCCAGACAATTAAGATTATTGGGAAGAGTGAAGGTAAGGAGGAAGGGGTGGGGTCCTATCAGAGGAGGACATTCTGAGGGGGATAGTGTTTTGCAAAACTTCTGCCCAACGACAGGGTGTGCCCTGGCTTGGCAAGATGACAAGCAGTTAGGTAAAGAGGGTCGTACGCAGCAGGAAGTTTTGGGAGTGACGTATTTTGGAATGATTTTTCACAACGTGATGGCAGTCGCAGAGGTTTTCGCAGCTCGAGAGTGAGTGGCAAGGTTCCCAGAGGTTTTCCACGAAGGTTATGCCCCGCCCAGAGGTCACTTCCTCCTCTTCACTTCACGATCGCTGTATGGCGGAGCAGTCATTGTCGGTGCACTCTCTCGCAATTGCGTACATTATGTCTTTTGAATGCTCAGTGTCTCCTGTCTACTTGCCGTGTGATAGCGCTCAAAACGAGCTGCGGTATGCTTTGGGAAGTGTTAGCGATTTCTCTTGCTTTGTTCTCCACAATTAAATTACTTGCCGCATCCTCTTCTGTTTCTGAATCCCATTTCCCGTGCGATTGCTGGCTGGGACTTCAATATCGGCATATGTGCATATATTTGAGTAAAAGAGGTGTTAACTTTGATTAAGAGGCTCAGACCATTGGTCCAGTTCTCTTCAATTGTTTGCTTTGGTGACACTTGTGGCACAAGTGCAAATGCGACAAGACAAGCCTCAGAAAAAAAACTGTCGTATTGATCGCTGCAGTGACTTTAGCAGAAATGTGCCACTTCAAAGCTTTACGGGCAGGGTATATCATCGTAAGTTTTGCTGAATACGGCTTTCCCCGAACGAAAATTTTTTCTCTTGAGCCCAACGGCAGCGACGAAACCCTTCTGTTGTGATTTGCACTGCAGAAGCCTTGTTTACGAGGGATTTGATCTTCTGTAACTGCCAAGTAGATTTATCGCTTCCTCGCTTCTAGCAACTGGTGGAAAACGGGTTTGGCGCCGAGCCAAACCCATCGCGCCAGGCACGCTAGAATATGGAGTCTCTATGGGATGGAGGTGGTATGGTGGCGGCAGTGGCACGCTTACCACCCGGGTCCGGTAATCACTTCTCGAACCGTCTCACAGTCAGGCCAAAAAACCCTCCAGTCCTACTTCCAGTTATGATTAATTGGAGATTCGTCTGGGAGGGTAAGAACACGTACATTGGCCGCCTCTCCCCCACTCCCCCCCCCCCCCCCCCTTCACGTCATTGCGTTGGCATTGAATCGCATTCAATAAGCCGTTACGATTCTGAATGGAACTAGAATGCGTGATGCATCCCGAAGAGTGATTGATCTGGCAAGACTTTATCCTATATTCTTTCAGTGCCTTTACCCTCCGACATTAAAGACAGAAGAAGCGATTACATGACGCAGCCCTTCCTTGTATGATGTGGCAAGATGCCGTCGCTAAGGCTGCGTTCATAGCTTGCGACGACGTTGCTGTCGTTGACGTAAGCGGCGACAGCAACGTCGTCGCAAGCTATGAACGACTTTTTTTCCAGAGACTGGATACGATCCGACGTCCGACGACGTTGATGTCGTCGTTGGCTATGAACCGAGCCTAAGTTTGAACACCTTCGCAACATGAAACGCTTGATAGGATACGAACTTCAGGGTTCTACTATGATAACCAAACACCGCCTCTATGATTCGCTCCACCTTCATCATTTAGTTTTACGATCGCTATATAGCGGTAGGGTCTCAACCGTTTGTGCACACTCTCGCCACACTATTACTTGTTTTTTTAGGCTTAGCACCTCTTAACCGTGAATTCCTATAATGAATAGAACCAATAGGTGTCTTATTCAGAGCACGTAGCTCGTTCTTTTCTGTTTTTTTTACCCCTAGGCTGTTCGGTTCTTGATATTTGTCGCAACCCCACTACCCAAATCGCGGCCTCCTTTAAACTGCTGCCTTGATTTCTCCTTATGGTTTTTCGTGTGCACTTCATCTTAGAGGAAATTTTTCACCTATCTCGATGTAGTTTTAGTTTTTTTTTCATTATGTGAACATGCGTTTCATGGTCTGCTGTTATGCAAATGTCAGGTGAAGTGTGAAACTGGTTAAGTGTGCAGCGCAGTAGACTTTGAGCTGCCGCTGCAGTGCGAGACATGTGCTGAGTATTGACTCAGCTTTTTTTTAAATGCCACTGAACGCTCTTTATGAATCTGCTCTTGTCTAGACTGCCCTAAATATGCATAGATAATATTTTCAAATGCAGTTATAAATAAGTTGTTCTCAGTCTGTTTCCCATTTCATGTCCGTACTTTGTTCTTTGTTTTTCTTTTGCCGTCTTTGTTGTGCCCATAGTAGTCGATTCATTCCTGTTTTATTGCTCAAGTCACTGCTTTGCAGTGAGTGTTCGCTGGCGCATTTTCATGGTCTCGAATTCCGATAAATCACCCATCGTGAACGAGCGCCCTATTGATCATGCAGGTATGTGAAGAATAAAGTTTATGTTATTGCACCTATTATTCACTTGGTTGAAAAAATAGAAATAACTTTACTTGTGGAATATTTATTAGATGGGTGACCACATTTACTCTAGAATTCCCCAAGTGTCTTCTAGAAACGAAGAATACAACGTGCCTGGCAACCTTCAGACTTGGCGATGGCAGCGCTTCGTCGCGCGTTCGACGCGATCGATGCAGTCGAAAGCATGCGCACATCGATCGCGTCGAACGTGCGACCGAAGCACTGCCGTCGCGAAGTCTGAACGCTGCCTTACATTCCTTCAGATCGTTCCCTTAGATCACCCTGTGGAAACGAACACCCCTATCCAAACAACATAAGCAGTTTATTCTCCAACAAAACTTGAACAAGAAAATTCTCCCGTTACACATGCTCTAGGCGTACTTTCGTATTTAGGCGGGAGGTTGAGGGAATCGGAGAACTGGTGAATAGGAGAATGCGCGACCAGGAATGTTTGGATGTTGATATGGCGTTTCGGGAGAATAGAAGGATCCTTCTATGAGCAGGGTACAGCATCGCGATGCGAAATGATGGTTTCAGTACACCCCTCCCTCAGTATACCCTCAGTATAGAAATAGAACTAGGTAGAAGCTTGGCTGCGCCGCAAACTGTGGGGCGGGGTGGAGGAGGAGGAGGCTCAAAGGCTCATACGACCTCCTCTCCCTCTCCCTCTCCAACAACGACAAATAACGGACCCCCACTCCCCACCGCGGCCAAGTGCGGACCCCTCCCAATGTGTTTCAGGACGACGCGCCTGTATCCTGTCTATGAGAGTGGGCACCAAAGGAATGGATCGGTGTCAAACGACTGGTTTTCTTCCACAAGGCATCCACTTCTGCAACTCTCTGTTTTCCGTTTTCCTGCTCTCCAGTGCTCCTGTTCTCCCAGAATGCAAGCGGCTATCGATATCCATTCATTCCTGCACGTATTCTCCCAAAACATCAATTCCGCTATTCTCCTGCCCCTATTCTTCTAAAATGTCAGATCTATACTTGTGTTTTCCTAGTGGCTACACTCCTAAACTGCTACTCTTCCGTCGCAAAGTACGAACCTGCTCTTACAGGCAGTTGGCACGATGAATTTCCAAGATGAGTAGGATTAATAGGCCTGGGAGCTCGGAATTCCGCGACCTCACAAGGTGCTGCGTAGCGCCTTTTCCAAGGAGGGTATAAGACTTCATGAAGCTACAACATACGGATCAGAACGCCCACCGCGCTCGCCTCTTACAAACGGACGACCGTGCCAGAGATATGAGTAAAAACGTGCAGCCGTACTTAGCGTAGCGATTATTGGCAAGATGCTTACAGGAAACCCGTCCGAAATGTCTTTTTCAGTCACTAAGAACGAAGTCTCCTCTTTCAGTAGGTTTTTACCATTTAACTCGTTTTTTCGCCATTTTCCCCACTACATTGCGCATTTTAGGCCGACTATCTAATCATCGTGTCAACCGCCTTTAAGCGAAATCAAATCAAGTTGATGCATCCTTCCTTTAAGCTGGTTTCTAAATAATGCAAAAGCCTACACTTAATCCGAATTTCCTGTATTGAACTTCCTCCAGTAGAATGTTTTGAGCACACACTTCAAGAAGGATTAGCTATTCCCATTTATTATAGCAGCCATACTGTACATTAAAAAGTTTTTTTCCAGGAGAATCTTTACTTCGTGGATTAGAAAATGTGGACAAGAAGCCAAAGGAAGAATTGGACTCAATTTTGGGTACAGGATATGATACTTCTAAATTTGCCGATGATAACTCTGGAGCGAAATGCACAAGGTGAGTTGTAGTTTTCCGATTTCTACCAAAAATTCTTGTTTCTATAGAAGCCTGTAAGACATAATCACACCTGCCACCCTTCTCTATTTATTGCTTTTCTTTTAATAGTGTCCGATTATAACTTCCATCTATTTAGAAGAGTTTTGCTTCAATACCACAGCCGTGTACTGCGATGACTGTTCGCTTTTCTTAGGGTTCATTAGTGAATTTGCTTGTTGTAGATACACTTTGCTTTCATCTGGGTTACACCTTGTTTTCTGCGGATGGAGGGCATTTTAGGCGGAAGGGGTTAGGCGCGACGCCAAGCCCATTCTTCGCCAGCTGTTGAAACGGGCAAGAATCGGTGGAAAGCGACTGATACGAATGGTAGGGCTAGTAACAATCTTGTCACTTTCTCGCTTCAACAACTGGTGGAAACATCCCCTCCCCCCCCTAACCCGTACCATCATCCGCAGCGAACAGGACTGCAATTTCACCTTACTCGACAATTGACACGAGTCAGTTATGGTATGTTCAACCTGAAATCCTCAGTTACACTCGAAACAGAAAGTCTTCTGCGGTGAAATCTAACCCTATTGCAGCTCTTGAAAGATCCCTGTGCACCCTCTCTTTTTACTGAAGAGTGTCTTGCAAATCCTCTCTGTTTTGCTTCAGTTGTAACATCCCAATTGCACATTTGCAATTTCTCAGTGCATTCTTGAAGGACTTGGTTTCAACATAGTTGGTGGAAAGGACAGCCAGCATATCCCCGGACATAATGGAATTTTTGTTTCGATTATAAAATCCGATGGTCCCGCTTATATTGATGGAAGGCTATCTGTCGGTGATTTAATATTGTCTGTGAGTCTTTCCTGCAGTTTTCACAGAGATAATGTTTTCTTACTCGTTGGATTACCTGCGAGAGCTTTGTGTGATCTTACACAGATTGCAGTTGCTGGGTCATTTATGGTCCTGGGCTGCCCTCGGATGTGGGACCTGCGGGAGATAGGATCATGCGGCATCGCGTGCATCAATCTGCAAATGCTGCGTCTCTGCAGTGGAGCGCATGCTCGCGATAAACTCGTTGCGTTACCGAATCAGATTGTGTTCGCCTCAGTTTACAGCCATTCTCTTCACTGTGGTAGGCTCTGGACTGTCGTGAACGTTAGATTTTGTTTCATTTGTATAATGCAGAGAAACCTACTCATTTTCTGCTCGCGTGTTAACTAAACTCACCTGCTGAACCCTAATCATTTGACTGCTGCTTTCTGGACAGCATTCAGGGACTGCGGTAATTGTGGTATTGTTGAGATACGGCACTCTATTACTGAAAAAGAAATAGCAGCGAAAAGGCATAGTCGCGACAACGTGGTAAGCAAAAGCGAGCGCGCACCGGTGATAACCATACTGTATTCGCGGTCTGTCGCGCGCGAACGCCGCGTGGTCCTACCGTCACATACGCGGAGCGGCACTTTATTTATCCTGGACTGTCTTTGGGTCTGAGACTGGCACTTTGTTTAAAGACACATCAGAGATAGTAGCTATGTGACTGCTCACAACTGTTTCCTTTTCCTTTCTTATCGTGCTCTCCCTTGCCCTATTAGGAGCAGCTATCAATGGGGAACGCCCAGCAGTTGTGGGCTTTCGCCCCATCCATGTTGTTATACCTGAGCTGCATTTACACTTTGCATCAGGTTTGAGCATACGCCAGCGGTTCGTTTTAGTTTTTCCTGGGCAGTCGCCGGAAAACACTGGCATACTGTCAAAAGGCTGGTCAACGCTCAAAACGCTAGAACAACGACACCTATACTTTGCTGGTCTCTCGAAACGCAGGCCTACGCCCGAAATGCTGACGTGAACTTTGAAGGCAGCCCAATTTTCGGTCTTCACAAAATTCCCTATGCAATGTGACACTTTCCGTGAATGCACCTCATTAAAGCTCGCTACCATACCATCTTTGACTTATGCACTCAGGAGTCGCATTCGTATTCGTGGATATTTTTAGATTAATGGAGTCGACCTTGTAAATAAGACGCACGATGAAGCAGTATCGATATTTCGTTCTCAGAATCAGTCAACCGTTGACCTTCTCGTAGAAATCGGTGCCGAAAACAGGATTCTAAACGTGAGTCATTTTGAAAGTGGACGGCTTTTCTCGCAGCGGTTCTCGTTAAACTTGATTTTTTGTTCGCTGTACTTTCGCTCGCTTTGTGGATGCAAATCCCTCTTTAAACCTTTTTTTGCACCAAGGCGATTCATAATTGTGAAATATATGGTCAAAATATATGTGAAATATATGGTCTTCACAGCTCGAGCGATTCAGTGGCGCTGTTTGGATTCCGCGCGGCTGCTCCAACCTCCGCCTAGTGCGTGTTCAGACTTTGCGATCGCGCGATCGGATCGCTCGACAGGACCGCGCGATCGCGAACTCTAAACGCGCTCTCATCATTACACCGCCGAAGCGGTTGAAAAAATTTTTTATCCTGAATGCGTTTGAATTCGAAGTTCCGTTAATGATTGGCGGCGGGTTGCCCTTTACTAACAGCTGCATCCCGTTTTGGACTCATCAGCAGGCTAGTAACACTTCTTTGGTGTGAGAGTGTGGTTTCGAGCTCGGCTGGCGTCCTTTTACCTCTCTTTTCGCTGAGTTGTCGTAGAGGACACTTCTTGTCTTCACTAACAAGTTCAGTTCAAATTAAGTTGGGAATTTGCTGAATTTGATACTGATTTATCTAATGAAGAGAAGTGTGCAGATGGCCGTCCTCATCACATGCTTAAAGCCACTTGGCACGATAAATCTCTAAAGACAAGAAAGGTTGATACGCTGACAGGGCGGATTTCCGCGACCCTGAGCAGGCGCTGCGTAGCGGTTTTTCCTAGGGAGGTACCCTTATAAGGGTCCTATCAAGCTACAACATACCGACCCAAACGCCCACCACGCCCGCCCGCCCACAAATGGACGACCTTACCAGATGCTCGTTTTGCTTCATTTGCTATTTAAAATATGAAGCGAAGGGAATGGTATGAAGCGGCTGCAGTGCTGAATGGATATACAGGGGGGGGGGGCAAAAAAGTCACTTCGACCGAGTCACATATCAGCAAAGTTTTCGCTGCCCAGACAGAGGACGTGGATACGAGTACCAGGGCGGAAGATACCCAAGATGTTCCTCGATAAGCAGGAGCTGGCTCTCGCCCATCACCTTCATGTACACCAAAATATGAAGTCATCTCCAGTCGCAGCCTGACTGGAGAAGACCTTTGGAATTCATGTCACCTCCAAACAGCTGCGAAACTTCTAGTATGGAGTCACCCATGGATAGCTACCTGGAGACCAGTACTCTCGATCTGGATGACCTCCAACATCGAGCAGCTCCGACAACGTCGCCACGGTCTAGGACATCATCTTCACCACAGTCGCCAAGGCGCGGGTTGATGGTATGGACCGGACGTACCTGGAATGGAAAGACCAATATTTTCTTCGTGGACCCCGGACATAAGGTGAGCGCTGGCGGTTACATTGAGCAACTCGTGAAGAATATCCTCCTCACATGTCGTCGCCCGTACCTTCTTGGAAACTTTGTACTGCTACAGCATTGGGTGCCACCACATGGAATCGAAGGGCGTTGGAGAAACTCTCGCCTACTTGGAATGGAAGGGGGCTGAGTACCTAAAGAAGATGGAATATCCAAGTAGGTCACCTGACCTGAATCCCTTCAATTACCCGGTTCGGGCGGAGTTCAATAGGGTGGTCTACGGTGGCGGAGAAATCGACTATCTCGCTGATCTCAGGCACCACATCGCGGTCGCGTGCCAGAATCTCTCGATGGCGCTCGTCCAGAAGGCTGTGGCGGAGTGTCATGATAGTATTTAATATGCTCTTTAATATGGTGGTAAAAATGTCCGATGAGAATTTGATAAAGTGTAATTTATAGCGCCTCGAAAGTCAATGAAGAAAAGTGAGTTTTTTGCCCCCTGTGTAAGTACATACATGCAGTCGTACCTATCGAGCCTGAATTCATACGCCGACGAGAAACTCGTCCGAAATTGCTTCTCAAGAACGAAGGCTTTTCTTCGCAGCTTTCTTTTTTTTTCGTGGCATGGATATCAGCAAGTTCGGAATGGGCCCTATTTGCCGCGGCATTGTGAAGAAAAACAAGGAGCTGCAAAGATGATCGCTGTGGTGGATTAGGGCCTGAGTATGCATGAATGGTGAGCTCAAGATGGTATGGTATAGGGAGGCTTGCCCCCTTCCCGAACAGGCAGCGATGAAATATTTTCGGGACAGGCATGCGTGGAAAACACGAACGATAAGATACTTTTTTGGAAGCTCATGCAGCAATCAAGCAAAAAAAAACGTTGCTGTCCTCCCAAACGAGTCTCCTTTCACACAGATTTCATGCTTTCTTAATCTTCGTGGTAACTGATTCTTGACGTGATCTCGACTTTATTCATGTGGTAATGTCGTTACTTGACGCTTCTAACTTGTTATCCAGTCTTCGTCCATTTACCCTGCAGTTATTTATAGGTACATGCGCTTTCGTCAGCAGAGCTTTTTCTGGCCTTGCCAGAGGTCATGAGGTAGGGCCATAGGGTTAGCTCTTTAGGGGTGGTAGCGGCGCAGTTTTCCGTTCATTTGTTGTCATAGAACTTCTTCCACAAGACTTCTGGGGGATTGTACGACCTAATAAAAGCGCTTTCTCGAATAGGGTTCCTCTCCGGACGCGTTTAGCCCCATCCTCACAGCCAGATTACTTCAGCAATCTATAACGATAATCTTTGTTTCAGGAGCACTTGACTATTGACTCACACATTTGTGGAGGAAAATCGCCACCACAATTAGAAACTGAATTGATATCTGGATTGCTTACTCCCGCTTCTCGACCAAGTTTCGGTGAGTTATGGTTGAAGACACTCTCTGCGATTATGTGAAAAGTGGCATCCTTTTCGTGGACCTGGAGGGTTCGCATAATTCACCGCTTCTGCCGCTCGACAACGCATGGCAAAGAAGCCGGCAAAGAGGCTTGTGATTGCTTGATGCTACTGACGTACCCGCGGTCCTGTCCGATACGCCATAGGCACCAGTCGTCTGCACTCTCTCACAGGGATGGTGTTCCGTGGATCCGATTGAATTCGTACACGATAATTTGGTACTTGCTAAAAATACTTGCAGGGCTGGAAAATGGCGAAAAATCGGAGTTGAACTTCTGAAAACCTACGAAAGAGATTTTCTTCTTCGCGGCATTGGACGAGCACTTATGGAAGAGTTCCCCTTCATTGTGCGAGCAACTATGTTAGTAGACGTGATGTGTGTATCTTTTCATATACCCGAGTAGTATCTTCTTATCAATTACACTTGATAAATGAAGCTATAAAGTGTCAGCGTTAATGTGACGTACAACTATTTGTAGGCAGGTGCTCAAGGAGGGCGTCTTGGTCGGCAGGATTGCACCTTGGTTGGGCGCCATTACTATGCAGTGATTGGAAAAAGCGCCGCTCAACGTCTGCCAAGGGACACAAAATTTTTCGTGCTAGGCCTATCGACCCTGTAGGCGGCTTTGCGATTTATTGTGCCTGTTGCCTCGCAAATTAGATGACGCGGTCTTATCGCACATGGCCTGAACAAGTAACCTATAGAATGGTATACAGATATGGTGCCATCAAACAATATAGGCCTCCAACTTTCATGCCACGATTTGGCCTGTGTGGAAAGTGATACGTTTCTGTGGCTGCGGATTGGCCACCATGTTCACGGAGAGGATCAGTTGGTCGTTTAATGTCTCTTTGAAACTTTAAAGATTGACTATCATCCCATCTTTTTCAATAACGTTTAGGCGATGGATTCTATGCGCGTTCAGCGACGTCCCCTTCATCAGGGGGTGAGTGGAAGGGGCAGGACGAAGACGCAGATTCAGTGACTAGCGGTGCTCCGTCCGTTCATTCAGTACTCGATGATGTGCCACGTACTCCAAAAAGGCCGATGAGTTACTTGGATCCCCGCAAGTAAGTTGTCCAAGAAAGTTGAGAAACTATTCCAATAAGGCGAGGCATTTTGGTGCACAGTTTGGAATCGCAACAAAATTTTTTTATATTAGGTTGGCCCATAAGTAAATGGCGTTTTTTTTCTCACAAATTTTTCATATGGAAAATGACAATTGTTCCCAATATGTTCTACACTATTTGATAGATAATTTTCCGCATTATAAGATAGTGTATGAGCTTTTCTTCATTTCTTGGTTTCCGCCAATTTGTATGTTATTGAAGTTTAATGGCGGGTCGACACAAAAGTGACTTTTTGACAACAACTTTTTTTCACTTTACCTCGGCTCTCAAATTACAAAGAAGCTCGAAACTTTTGATTTATATTATAAGGGAAGATGCTTTTTATGACAGCCTGAAGTTGCTGCAAGCGACCACGGACCCTGTAAATGTGCATCGCATGGGGCCCCCTCCAGGAACACTTTCTGCAGAACCCGTCAGTTTTGAACTTCTCCATTCAAGTGGGGTGATGCTCGATTATGATAAGGGAGCATTCTATGACCTCTAACAATTCTTCAATCTTTGACATGAAATCGCATAGGGAGCCCTAACTTCACGACGTCTAACATCAACTGAGGGTGATGATTAATAACCAATGTTCTCTAAGCAAGCCTGAATCACTCCTGTAAGCCGTCTACCACTGTTGTTGCAACTTAAACCAAACGTTTCAGAAGCTCCTTTTCTTGAGTGGTCCCTGTGGTATCATCAGCTATTATGAGGTATGGATTTAGTATCCCTCCCCTTTTAGGCTCCTTGTCAGCCCTTGTCAGTTGTTATCGCTTCCTTCCACCCACCAATATTGTTCCCAACCTGCCCCCAAATAACTTTTTGGAACCACCGTTCCACCGTTGCAGTGGCGCGAGTTATAAATTTGATGATGCGCCCCTTTCGAGGCTCCTTGTCAGCCCTTGCCAGCTGTTATCACCTCCTGCCACCCATCAATGATGTTCACGTCAAGCCCCCCCCCCCCCCCCCTCCCTCTGAATCACTTCCCAATGTAAACTCTGTATGGCCAATTTGAAGGAAGTTAAGAATTTCCATTCAAACTTACAATACACACACACCACACCACCACACGCCCACCACACC